GTCAGAGCACAATTCCCCAGACCTCTTAAAACATAACCAAAATATCAGCAATCAATAAAGAAAATATAAGATAAAGATACTAGAAAAAGATAGAATGGCATCATGCAAAGAAATATACAGATAAGAAAGGATATGGCAAGATATATAGAGATAATAGAGCAATGTTGAACAGATATATATTGATAGAGCTCTCTAGATTATAAATACACACAAAAGAAAAGAAAAGAATCAGAAATAACAAAAAATAAAAAAATAAAAAAGTAAATAAAGGAAAAGGGACCTTTCCTCTTCACAGATAGTCTCATTTCTTTTGAAACACAGGAGGAGACAGATAAAATTGAAGTTCTATGAGCACTAAGAGAGAAAAGAAAAGAAAGAAACTAGAAAAAGAAAATAATACTTAGAAAATTGAAAGAAAAAGTAAATAAAGGAAAATGGACCTTTCCTCTTCACAGATTGTCCCCTTTCATTTGAAATATAGGAGGGGACAGATGGAATTTAAGTTCCAAGAGCATTAAAAGAGAAAAGAAAAGAAAGAAACGGGGAAAAGAAAATAATACTTAGAAAATTCAAAGAAAAAGTAAATAAAGGAAAATGGACCTTTCCTCTTTACAGATTGTCTCCTTTCCTTTGAAATACAGGAGGAGACAGATAAAATTTAAGTTCCAAGAGATAAAAACAAGAAGTTTTTCCACAAATACTCTAAATACAATTTATAGAATGAAGAAATTTATAAAATACATATAAAAAAGACAGAATAAGTACCATAAAGGAAAGAGCAGGAGAGGCTGAGCTGAGGTGACCGCCCAGGCACAGGGCAGCAAAGGAACTGGGGAACATGGCCACCCTCACCCAGAGCGCAGAAATCCTATGCAATTTATTCAGAGTTAATTATGATTTCCAGGATTTCCTTAATGTATTGGTTTTATTTTCATATTTATGTTATAGAGATATTAGTTTTACAATCTCTAAATATTAGAAAACCAGTTTATAAGCTCTGTTAAGTTATTTACAGTCTCTACCCCTTGCCGATATTCTACCGAAATAGTTCGGTGCATACAACATCGGCTACCCAGAAATCATTACTTAGAAAGATCTTTCAGATCTCTTTTATTCTTTTTCAGAGTTGGTATTATTTTTCATCATAGAAACTAGCAAACTAAGCAGTGATAGACCGCCCAGGATTTATAAAAATGGTATAAAAAGGTCTAAGTATTTTGATGTTTTAGTTAGTTACCCCTGCCTTATGGTTTTCTCTGGCATCTCGGTAACTTCGCAGTTTTCTTTGATGGTAAGTAGTAAGTCCCAGCCGAGTCCTCAGTCCTTTGAGATACCCCTCCCCTCCACCTTCTACTAAAACTTTATGATCTTTTAATTTTGGATTTCTTTCAGGATCCAGGCAGTTGAGACAGGATACTCCAAGTAAGGAACCTAACCCAACCATCCTGACCATTAGTAGCCCTTCAAAGGGTTCCTGCCAGGATCCATCTTTACGAAATTCTTATCTCAGGGAAGAGGAGATGAGACTTCTACTTTGCTTTTTACATGTTGCTTAGTCACCACACACCGGCGAGAGGAAGCTTCAAGGAGGCAGGCAAGATACAGGAAGTGGGAGCCCTTCCCCAGGTGCCCCCCCCCTCCCCCCGCCCCTCCATGACCGGAAGAACCTCGGAAGTCGGACACCGTTACCGTGTGACTCCTTTGGAGTCTCTGTTCACTTGTATATATTGTACCTGTTTGAATAAAGACTTCAGTTAACCTCTTACACAGCACCTGATGAAGCCTCTGGCTGAAAGCGCTAGTGCTTTGAGTTAACTGTTAATTTTAAGGATTACATGGTTGTTTCTCTCCTCCATCCCTTAGATTAACTCTTTCTGTTGTCTTTGCCCGCCCAGCAAGACATCAGTGTACCATACAAAAGCTCTGAATTTGCACATGATCAGTCCTTGTAAGGATTATTTTATACGAATTTGATACTAGTCTTTGCCCGCCCAGCAAGACTTATATTTACCAAACAAAAAAGCCATGCATACCTGTCTTTGCCTGACCAGCAAGACTGTCTATTTCTGAATTTATATAGAGTCTTTGCCCGCCCAGCAAAACTCTCATTTACCAAACAAAAAAGCCATGCATACTTGCCCTTGCCTGACCAGCAAGATTATTGTTAATCTAGTCTTTGCCCGCCCAGCAAGACAGGTTACCTAGTGTTGCACATGCTCAGTCCTAGTAGGGACTTGTTTATACATGCACAGATACCTATGATCTCTTGTCTTTGCCCGCCCAGCAAGACAGTTGCACATGAACAGTCCTTTTAAGGATTCTCTGAAACAAAGCTGAATATTTGCACACTAGTTGTTTGGTAATCTATACAGTAAGAATATCTTCACTGAACCTCTTTTCTTATTTTTTCAGGTGCCCTTGAACTGCTGCTGGAAGATCCTGTGGGGTAACAAACTGTCCTCGGAGAATTCCCTGTTAGCCTCTGGTGGACAGCACACTCACCCCTCTGGAAAAATAGCAGTTTTCAGTTTATGGTGGCATTGATATTTCTTTACTGAATCAGAGTTTTTTGTAATAAATGTGTACAGTTTCTAAGGAATAAATAAAGAGAGAAATAAGGTGACTTATGCACTGTTATTTGATCTGAAAAGATAGATAAAGACAATATAAGGAGAAAAGACAAATAATCAAAAGTAACAAAATGCCGATGACAAGAGCAAACACTAAAAAAGACAATAAAATCAATAAAGGACCAGTAGAGGAAGGAATAATTGATGAATTGGTGTCAACTCTGGGAAGCAGTCTAGATCCTGTCTTCCAGCAAGCTATAGGCAATACACAAATAAACCCCAAACTAATAAATAACCCACTAGCCCTAAGAGGAGGATGGAATCACCCTCTAGCATGGGCAAATACAAGCCCGGCAATTCAGGCCTCACCTCTTGCACCCCTACTTTTGGGGGGGGAAGTACAGCTAGGCTTCCCAGAAGATCCATTCATGGATGAAATACACAACTTGCAAGACCATCCTCCCCTGTCTACACATGAGGAACAAACAGAGGTCAAAAACATTGCGAAACTATACAAAGAAGAAGCAGTACAAAAGGCCATCATAAAATACCTTGATAGATGTGAATTAAATGGTGTCACAGATAAATTCGACCTCATGCTACAGAATATAGACAGCAAAATGAGGAACCTACCACCTATGTGGGTAATAGAAATGGGAGAACTGATCTTGCAAGGGGCAGCAAGAAGATGGCAAGGCCTGATGGCAGCAGCAATCAGGGCAAACACAGTAGAAGTGAGGAGAAGAATAATAATAGAAAAAAATAGGCTAAAAGACAAGTACCCCCACTCATATAGAAGGATATGCCATGATGCTCACACAAGAGGCAAACTTGCCGCTAAGAAAATTGATAAGTTGCAACCCCCTAACAGCAAGTTCTACCTATTACAAGAAGGGACACCCCTTATTCAGTACATGAATGACCAGACTAATATGGAAATGACAGGAGAAGAGAGAGATATGGTCTTGAAATGTATGAGAGATATAGGCATAAACTCTCATCCTGATGAACCCGAACCTCTGGTAGAGGTCAATCTAGAAGAGGAAAATAACAGGGAAGATGAAACAGACAATGAAGAAACAAATAATGAAAAGGAAAATGAGGAAAATGAAATAAATAATGAGAATGAGATAGAAATTGAGCAAAACAAAGAAGTAGCCCTTCCTTCCCCACCTTCTAGTAGCAAAACAGAAGGAAATAATGAGGCCTCGGAAGAGGAGGCACCACAGATAGACCTACCCCAGGGAGAGGAAAATGACACACAAATCCCCTCACCCATAAATAACTCCATAAGGAGCCCAGGAACACTGGAACTATTCCTACCTACTCCATCTTCCCCACCCTGTCCCTCAGGACTCAAAGAAAGGGAAGAAGCATGCAACATGCTCTTAGAAAAAGTAGTAGGAGCAATAGGCCAGCTGGAAAAGGTCATCTCCAACTTGAATGAAAAAATCACGGAGACACCAAAAGATAAACATAAAGATACAGAAAGAGAGATAGAAGAGATTGCCCAGGAAGAAAATAAAAAAGGAGAGGAAAAAGAGACATCACAAAAGGAAAAAACAAAGAAAAACCCAGAAACATGGATGTCTCTGAAAAAATATGCAAAAAGGAAAACAGAAGAAGTAAAAAGGAAAAACAAAAAAACACAACCAAAAAACGGAAAGAAACAGAAGAAAGAACAAAATGCAATACCACAGAACCACAAAGGGCCTCACACAAGGAGGAAAGCTCCCCAAAACAATACAATGCAAAGAAATGCAGGGCAGCCCCCTCATATACGAGGACCCACCCAAATGAGAAAAACCCCCCTAACCTCATACAGAGCCCATTACCCCAAAGGGCACCAAGCCCCACACCAGAAGAGATGGTCTGCTTACAAACAGAGCCACCCACAAGTGTGGAGGAAAGACCCACAAGAGCAAGAATGGAGGCAAGAGAGGGCATCCTACCACAGGAGCCACCCGCACCACAGATACACAAACCAGAACCCACACTGGATAAACCACCCACAGCCATGGAGGCCACCTCAGAGACAGGGAAGATTTCCTCTAAGAGGAAACTACCACTGGGCTCAAGAGCAAGCAGGAGGAAGGCAGTGGCAAGAAGGAGGGTACGGCAGATGGGGATGGAATTAATTGTATCAGAAGTGCCCATGACCAGAACCCAGCTCTCTGTTCTCAGTAAGGGAAGATCCTTTGTACCAGGCCCTCCTCCAAAGAAAGCTCTCCTGGAAAACCTAGGGAACTCAATGAATAGATTAAAGAACAAATAAACAAAAGGTTCACAGATTCCCTCTTACCAGGACAGGAAAATGAAACATTCATTAAAAAGAGGAGAACTTTGCCCAAACAACTCCCGATGAAACAGAGAGAGAGCATTCCTACTAAAAAACTCCCAGGGTTGGAAACAATGATACATTGTGAAACTATGGATGTAGGAGAAAACATCTTAAAAGGCTGCCATTCAAACATGACTAAAAGAGAAAGAGAAGCCCTCAAGGACTTGGCTCAAAATCCAGACTTAGTCATTAAAAAAGCAGACAAAGATGGAGCTCTAGTGGTCCTAAAGAAAGAAAGTTATATAACAATGGGCGAAGCACATCTATCAGATACTGAAACATACATCCCTCTAGATAACCCAGAGGAAGCCCTACAGGCAGTAAAAAGAGAAAGCAAGATCCTAGTAAACCGCTTTTTTAACTTAGATAACTCAGGGAAAAATGGAGGAAATAGAAGAAGTTTCCTGGCAGGTCAAAGAGACGCATTACTAGATCATGAACCCATAATCCCCCACTGGTATATACTACCAAAAACCCATAAGAAAAAAGACCCAGATACAGGCTTATGGCCAGGTAGACCAGTGTTAAGTGGATGTAATGCACCTACAAGACCCGTAGATAGATTGCTAACAACCTATCTCACCCCCTTGCTGGACCTCCTACCTGAGAGATTGCAAGATACCACAGCTTTTCTAAAGAAAATAACCACACTACCAAGGTTTCCTACAAACTCTATTATCTTCTCATTTGATATAGTGTCACTGTACCCCTCCATCCCACAGGAGGAAGCATCTTGGATTGTGGCAAATTTCTATGAAAAGAACTTTGCATATGTAAAGGAAAGATTAAAAGCAGAATATAATATGATAGCCCCACCCCCGTACCTAATAAAAGAAGGAATAGATCATGTCTTGCAAGGCACACTACTAAGGTTCAACAACCACTTCTATAACCAAGGCAAAGGAACAGCAATTGGAGCCTCAGTCTCAGTAGCCATAGCTGAAATCTTTGTACATGCTAGTATAGAAGGAAAGAGACAAAAACTGGAAAAACAGCCAGCAGTTTTCTATAGATATATTGATGATATCTTTGGAATCTTCACTGGCACAGAGGCAGAACTCTTGGAATACCACCAAGAGCTCAATAAGATACACCCAGATCTGAAATTCACAGTGGAATATAGTAAAATGGAGCTGCCCTTCCTTGATACTATGGTATACATGGATGCAGAAGGAAAAGTGCAAACCTCGGTGTACCATAAACCTTCAAACACACACCAATATCTGCACTTCCAATCATGCCATCCCCCAAGCCTCAAAAGATCCTTACCATACTCTCAGGCACTGAGAATCAAAAGAATAGTAAGTGAGCCACATAAACTAGAAAATGCATTAAAAGACATGGTAACCTTCTTCACAAAAAGAGGATATTGTAAGAGAACACTAGGATCTACAATAAATAGATTAAAAGAGGTCAACAGGGAAACCCTCTTAGAAAGAAAAATAAGAGCAGAACAAAACCGCTTAATTTTCCCCATGCTATATTCCCCATCCTTGGAAGGAGTCCTAAACTACTCTCTAAAGGAAATATGGGAATGGGTAATAGAAAATGCTGAAGGAACCCCATGGGAAAACAAGTTTACGGCTCCACATCCCATGATAGCTTGGAGAAAAGGAAAAACCATAGCTGACTTTCTAGTCAGAGCACAATTCCCCAGACCTCTTAAAACATAACCAAAATATCAGCAATCAATAAAGAAAATATAAGATAAAGATACTAGAAAAAGATAGAATGGCATCATGCAAAGAAATATACAGATAAGAAAGGATATGGCAAGATATATAGAGATAATAGAGCAATGTTGAACAGATATATATTGATAGAGCTCTCTAGATTATAAATACACACAAAAGAAAAGAAAAGAATCAGAAATAACAAAAAATAAAAAAATAAAAAAGTAAATAAAGGAAAAGGGACCTTTCCTCTTCACAGATAGTCTCATTTCTTTTGAAACACAGGAGGAGACAGATAAAATTGAAGTTCTATGAGCACTAAGAGAGAAAAGAAAAGAAAGAAACTAGAAAAAGAAAATAATACTTAGAAAATTGAAAGAAAAAGTAAATAAAGGAAAATGGACCTTTCCTCTTCACAGATTGTCCCCTTTCATTTGAAATATAGGAGGGGACAGATGGAATTTAAGTTCCAAGAGCATTAAAAGAGAAAAGAAAAGAAAGAAACGGGGAAAAGAAAATAATACTTAGAAAATTCAAAGAAAAAGTAAATAAAGGAAAATGGACCTTTCCTCTTTACAGATTGTCTCCTTTCCTTTGAAATACAGGAGGAGACAGATAAAATTTAAGTTCCAAGAGATAAAAACAAGAAGTTTTTCCACAAATACTCTAAATACAATTTATAGAATGAAGAAATTTATAAAATACATATAAAAAAGACAGAATAAGTACCATAAAGGAAAGAGCAGGAGAGGCTGAGCTGAGGTGACCGCCCAGGCACAGGGCAGCAAAGGAACTGGGGAACATGGCCACCCTCACCCAGAGCGCAGAAATCCTATGCAATTTATTCAGAGTTAATTATGATTTCCAGGATTTCCTTAATGTATTGGTTTTATTTTCATATTTATGTTATAGAGATATTAGTTTTACAATCTCTAAATATTAGAAAACCAGTTTATAAGCTCTGTTAAGTTATTTACAGTCTCTACCCCTTGCCGATATTCTACCGAAATAGTTCGGTGCATACAACATCGGCTACCCAGAAATCATTACTTAGAAAGATCTTTCAGATCTCTTTTATTCTTTTTCAGAGTTGGTATTATTTTTCATCATAGAAACTAGCAAACTAAGCAGTGATAGACCGCCCAGGATTTATAAAAATGGTATAAAAAGGTCTAAGTATTTTGATGTTTTAGTTAGTTACCCCTGCCTTATGGTTTTCTCTGGCATCTCGGTAACTTCGCAGTTTTCTTTTGGTAAGTAGTAAGTCCCAGCCGAGTCCTCAGTCCTTTGAGATACCCCTCCCCTCCACCTTCTACTAAAACTTTATGATCTTTTAATTTTGGATTTCTTTCAGGATCCAGGCAGTTGAGACAGGATACTCCAAGTAAGGAACCTAACCCAACCATCCTGACCATTAGTAGCCCTTCAAAGGGTTCCTGCCAGGATCCATCTTTACGAAATTCTTATCTCAGGGAAGAGGAGATGAGACTTCTACTTTGCTTTTTACATGTTGCTTAGTCACCACACACCGGCGAGAGGAAGCTTCAAGGAGGCAGGCAAGATACAGGAAGTGGGAGCCCTTCCCCAGGTGCCCCCCCCCTCCCCCCGCCCCTCCATGACCGGAAGAACCTCGGAAGTCGGACACCGTTACCGTGTGACTCCTTTGGAGTCTCTGTTCACTTGTATATATTGTACCTGTTTGAATAAAGACTTCAGTTAACCTCTTACACAGCACCTGATGAAGCCTCTGGCTGAAAGCGCTAGTGCTTTGAGTTAACTGTTAATTTTAAGGATTACATGGTTGTTTCTCTCCTCCATCCCTTAGATTAACTCTTTCTGTTGTCTTTGCCCGCCCAGCAAGACATCAGTGTACCATACAAAAGCTCTGAATTTGCACATGATCAGTCCTTGTAAGGATTATTTTATACGAATTTGATACTAGTCTTTGCCCGCCCAGCAAGACTTATATTTACCAAACAAAAAAGCCATGCATACCTGTCTTTGCCTGACCAGCAAGACTGTCTATTTCTGAATTTATATAGAGTCTTTGCCCGCCCAGCAAAACTCTCATTTACCAAACAAAAAAGCCATGCATACTTGCCCTTGCCTGACCAGCAAGATTATTGTTAATCTAGTCTTTGCCCGCCCAGCAAGACAGGTTACCTAGTGTTGCACATGCTCAGTCCTAGTAGGGACTTGTTTATACATGCACAGATACCTATGATCTCTTGTCTTTGCCCGCCCAGCAAGACAGTTGCACATGAACAGTCCTTTTAAGGATTCTCTGAAACAAAGCTGAATATTTGCACACTAGTTGTTTGGTAATCTATACAGTAAGAATATCTTCACTGAACCTCTTTTCTTATTTTTTCAGGTGCCCTTGAACTGCTGCTGGAAGATCCTGTGGGGTAACAAACTGTCCTCGGAGAATTCCCTGTTAGCCTCTGGTGGACAGCACACTCACCCCTCTGGAAAAATAGCAGTTTTCAGTTTATGGTGGCATTGATATTTCTTTACTGAATCAGAGTTTTTTGTAATAAATGTGTACAGTTTCTAAGGAATAAATAAAGAGAGAAATAAGGTGACTTATGCACTGTTATTTGATCTGAAAAGATAGATAAAGACAATATAAGGAGAAAAGACAAATAATCAAAAGTAACAAAATGCCGATGACAAGAGCAAACACTAAAAAAGACAATAAAATCAATAAAGGACCAGTAGAGGAAGGAATAATTGATGAATTGGTGTCAACTCTGGGAAGCAGTCTAGATCCTGTCTTCCAGCAAGCTATAGGCAATACACAAATAAACCCCAAACTAATAAATAACCCACTAGCCCTAAGAGGAGGATGGAATCACCCTCTAGCATGGGCAAATACAAGCCCGGCAATTCAGGCCTCACCTCTTGCACCCCTACTTTTGGGGGGGGAAGTACAGCTAGGCTTCCCAGAAGATCCATTCATGGATGAAATACACAACTTGCAAGACCATCCTCCCCTGTCTACACATGAGGAACAAACAGAGGTCAAAAACATTGCGAAACTATACAAAGAAGAAGCAGTACAAAAGGCCATCATAAAATACCTTGATAGATGTGAATTAAATGGTGTCACAGATAAATTCGACCTCATGCTACAGAATATAGACAGCAAAATGAGGAACCTACCACCTATGTGGGTAATAGAAATGGGAGAACTGATCTTGCAAGGGGCAGCAAGAAGATGGCAAGGCCTGATGGCAGCAGCAATCAGGGCAAACACAGTAGAAGTGAGGAGAAGAATAATAATAGAAAAAAATAGGCTAAAAGACAAGTACCCCCACTCATATAGAAGGATATGCCATGATGCTCACACAAGAGGCAAACTTGCCGCTAAGAAAATTGATAAGTTGCAACCCCCTAACAGCAAGTTCTACCTATTACAAGAAGGGACACCCCTTATTCAGTACATGAATGACCAGACTAATATGGAAATGACAGGAGAAGAGAGAGATATGGTCTTGAAATGTATGAGAGATATAGGCATAAACTCTCATCCTGATGAACCCGAACCTCTGGTAGAGGTCAATCTAGAAGAGGAAAATAACAGGGAAGATGAAACAGACAATGAAGAAACAAATAATGAAAAGGAAAATGAGGAAAATGAAATAAATAATGAGAATGAGATAGAAATTGAGCAAAACAAAGAAGTAGCCCTTCCTTCCCCACCTTCTAGTAGCAAAACAGAAGGAAATAATGAGGCCTCGGAAGAGGAGGCACCACAGATAGACCTACCCCAGGGAGAGGAAAATGACACACAAATCCCCTCACCCATAAATAACTCCATAAGGAGCCCAGGAACACTGGAACTATTCCTACCTACTCCATCTTCCCCACCCTGTCCCTCAGGACTCAAAGAAAGGGAAGAAGCATGCAACATGCTCTTAGAAAAAGTAGTAGGAGCAATAGGCCAGCTGGAAAAGGTCATCTCCAACTTGAATGAAAAAATCACGGAGACACCAAAAGATAAACATAAAGATACAGAAAGAGAGATAGAAGAGATTGCCCAGGAAGAAAATAAAAAAGGAGAGGAAAAAGAGACATCACAAAAGGAAAAAACAAAGAAAAACCCAGAAACATGGATGTCTCTGAAAAAATATGCAAAAAGGAAAACAGAAGAAGTAAAAAGGAAAAACAAAAAAACACAACCAAAAAACGGAAAGAAACAGAAGAAAGAACAAAATGCAATACCACAGAACCACAAAGGGCCTCACACAAGGAGGAAAGCTCCCCAAAACAATACAATGCAAAGAAATGCAGGGCAGCCCCCTCATATACGAGGACCCACCCAAATGAGAAAAACCCCCCTAACCTCATACAGAGCCCATTACCCCAAAGGGCACCAAGCCCCACACCAGAAGAGATGGTCTGCTTACAAACAGAGCCACCCACAAGTGTGGAGGAAAGACCCACAAGAGCAAGAATGGAGGCAAGAGAGGGCATCCTACCACAGGAGCCACCCGCACCACAGATACACAAACCAGAACCCACACTGGATAAACCACCCACAGCCATGGAGGCCACCTCAGAGACAGGGAAGATTTCCTCTAAGAGGAAACTACCACTGGGCTCAAGAGCAAGCAGGAGGAAGGCAGTGGCAAGAAGGAGGGTACGGCAGATGGGGATGGAATTAATTGTATCAGAAGTGCCCATGACCAGAACCCAGCTCTCTGTTCTCAGTAAGGGAAGATCCTTTGTACCAGGCCCTCCTCCAAAGAAAGCTCTCCTGGAAAACCTAGGGAACTCAATGAATAGATTAAAAGAACAAATAAACAAAAGGTTCACAGATTCCCTCTTACCAGGACAGGAAAATGAAACATTCATTAAAAAGAGGAGAACTTTGCCCAAACAACTCCCGATGAAACAGAGAGAGAGCATTCCTACTAAAAAACTCCCAGGGTTGGAAACAATGATACATTGTGAAACTATGGATGTAGGAGAAAACATCTTAAAAGGCTGCCATT